CTTTCCGGTCACCATCTGCCCTCCCCGCGGGGAGACGTGCCATACTCGTGACAGCTTTACGTGGCTCAACAACGACCGAGAAAAGGACCGCACTTTTCGTCTGAAGGAGTATCGCCACGTGGCAATTGCGCGATTGCAACGTCGGCACCGTGTAACCTTTCTCTGCAGCTTCACCCTATCTGTCCGCCCTTTTCGTCTCCTGGTTCGCTTTTCCACAGGAATCATCCTGCTATTCCGTTCCCTAAGCTATCTTGTTTTCTAGCTAGCCCGTGTTTTCCGTCGGGGTTACAATGCTCTATCGTTTCGTCGTTCGGCTGTGATTCAGTCTCGAATCAGCGCCGATTCAAGCTCGACACCCTACTTTCGTTTAGTATAGAAGACCGCACCGCCTTCTAACCGCTTCGGTTCGTCTCTACCGAGCACCGAATCGCCGCGGATCCGAGCCGACCACTGTGCTCTCCGCTTTCGAGTCAGGTTACCGAGATGCGGGAACCGTTTCCCTTCGCGAACCTCTCGAGAAGGCTCTGCAAAAGCCTGTCTCGTTCCTCAGGATTGTCCGGCACGTCGCCGGGGATGGACCAACGACCGCGTTTTTGGCGAGAAAGCGGACGAAACGCGCGGACGCGACGATCCTCGAGATCACCCCGCCTTCTCTCGCCCCCTTCAACACTTGCTTCTCTCTCTCTCACACACACACACTATCTCTCTTTCTCTATCTGTTCGTCTTTTGTTGTTGGTTAGGTTTGTTTGTTTGCTTGTTATTGATTTCTTTTTGTATTCGTGAAAAGAAAAGCCCACCATCGTAATAATTAACGTGTTAACGGCGACGTCGTTCATTGAACAGGTTCCGTCGATCTCGTCTTTTTTTACGATCGATTCGTTTTTTATCGTTTATGATTTTTTTTCATCTTATTCTTGCTTGTCGTTAAATAGTAATCATCTAAACAATGAAAGCGGCAAAACGTCTCGAGGAAAAAGGTGTCCCTGAGCGCGACGGAAGGGGACGACGACGACACACACGTATTCTTTCTTTGTCTTCTTTGGGAGGGAGAAATAAAAGAGACTGTTTTATATATTTGTTTGTTTGTTTGCTTGCTTGCTTGCTTGCCTGCCCGCCGCCCTTCGTCGTCCTCGTCCCTTTCACGCCCACAATTATTAGCCGCACCTGCACAGGACTTCGCGGGACACGTCCAGTCTAAGTGTAAGAAAGAGCAACTATTATTTTATACATTTTGTGGTTCCCACGTGAGAAAAAAGGTGTCCTCTTTCACTCTCTCTTTCTTTCTCTCTCACTCTCCAGCTTCCGTTTTTACTACGCCGCGATCGCTCGCGTTTCGCGTCGTTAAAACGGGGATGGGGTGCCGTTTTCTTTCTCCTGGTGGGGGCGTGGGGTGGGACGCGGAGCAAAAGTCTCGTATGTGTCCTGGACGAGTCGGTTTCGTTCTGCGCAGGTATTCGTAAAAAGAGGGACGCTCTTCTCAAAATGTTGCATCTTTGTGAAATCGCGTTTTTTTCTCAACTAAGTTCCTATGTCCTTTAAATCCTTATTACAAGTACGGTAGTAATAGTAGTAGAAGTAGTAGCAGCAGTAGTAGTAGTAGTAATAGTAGTAGTAGTAGTTTATTAATAGTAGGTTTTTTCTCTTTTTTTTCATCGTTTTTATGTTTAAGCATTTTTTTATCCTTTAGTTTTCTGGTTCTGATAATCTAATAGACATCTAAAAATAACACCCATTTTTTTCATTATTATTTCATTATTTGTATTCTCCTTAGCTTTCTTTTTTTATTTTTATTTTAGTTTATTTCGATCAAGTATTACTTAAAGATTCCTTAAACGTTAGACTGAGGGCCGCGTGCCGCGTGCACGCTGGGCTCGACGGCGGATCGCGGGACGATAGGGAGGAGGAATCGATCATTAGACAACGCCGGCCGCCATTTTCGTTCTTCCCGGTTGATGAGAGCTACCCGCGCGAGATCGACCGGCAAAACACCGTCGACCGTCTCTCTCTCCTTCGAAAATCTCCCGTTCATGCAAATCCCCCTTTTTCTTTCTATTTCCCTCTTTTTCTCGTTCTTCCTCTAACGATCCGACCGCACACGATCAACCCTTTTCCAAACCCCTCCCCGACCACCCCTCGAGCCCAGACTGAACGCAGCTTTGCATACCACTGTTGAATTACATCTTACATTTATTTCTAGCGGCTGGAGTAACAAGTTTTTTTTTATTTTTGTCATTCGTTTTGTCAGCTCAGTACTGCATCAATTCATATTGCTGCTGTTGTGATCTGTACCCAAACCGTCGTTCCCAATTAAACCCCTGTCCACGCATACACACCCTGCTCCTACTCCTCATCCTCCTCCTCCTCCCTGTGTCTCCTTTCCCCCTCTCTCACCCTCTCTCATTCTCTCGTTCTTTCTCTCTCTCCCTCTATTCCCCGAACCCTCGCTCTCTCCCTCTTTCCCCCTCACTCACTTTCTCTCTCTCTCTCTTTCACTCTCTGCACACGTGTCTGGCCTTCTTATGCGTTGGTGCATCGATCTTCTTCGTAACGCCCTCCAACCCACCGTTCTCGCCCCCCGAAATCTGTCGTTAAATTTCCTCCTCGATTTCCCCCCGCCTCTCACCCTCCTTCTCGCGCTATCTATCTCTCTCCTACCCTCGGCTTCCCGTATTTTTCCCTTTCGTGTTAATTTTAATATCACATTTTCATGGGAACAGACTGGCCCGATATATTTGGAAACGGAACCCGGATATGCTGATCGGTGAATCGGTAATTTTTTTTCTCTCGTTATTCGAATGTCGTTCTCTCGTCCTCGTCCTCGTAATCGCGATTATCAAAAAAGGGGATACTCGACCGTTGAGCCCTCGATACAACGAATTTTTTTTTTTGTCCAATTGGATTTCCTGTCCGCTTTTTTCTGGCATGATCGAGCCGCGATCAAGTTCCTCGCCGAGGAAATTGAAGACGAATTCGACCGCGCAATGGCATACGTCTTTTTCATTCGAGATTGCCTCGGAACCGTCCTCTCTTCCTCCCCCTCTCTCACTCTCTTGCTCTTTCTCTTTCTTTCTCTCTTTCTCTTTCTGTCTTTATGTCTTGCTCCCTATCTACCTTCTCTTTCTTTCTGTTTTCACTGTTATCATCCTCTTTATTGTATTTTTTTTGGTTTCTTTTTCGCTTCTTTTTCGTCTTACTTCGCTTTTGCCTTTCGCGTTCCTCGTTCACCGCGTGCGGGAAAAAGCAGAGCGCAATACATCGGGCGAGCGTGTCCCTGTTTTTAATATATAGAATACATACATCTTTATCTCGCTACAAGGTACTACGAACCCAGATCGAAAAACGATAATAGTCCATCGTTTATGAGATATCTTTTTCTTCTTTTTTTTCTTACGGCACGTACAACGACTTGGATGGCAACGACGAAACGAAAACGAAACTCACGAGACAAAAAGGACAAAGAAAAAAGGAATTCTTTTTAATAACATACGAAGGTGCGTTCATCAACAATCTACACGTTCAAGAGACATTCATCGTTAAATCACTTAATTGAAACTCCTTAGACTGTAAAATATTAATTATGTTTGCTCTTGTTTATCCCTCCCGTTAATCGACCTTCTCTAAAACAGGTCCCCACCCTCTCTCTCTCTCTCTCTTTCTCTCTCTCTCTTTCTCTCACTCACACGCGCACTCATACGCACAAATTCTCTCTCTCTCTTTCTCTCTCTCTCCCCCTCTTTTTTACTTTTGTAGACGCTTGTGTAATTAATGTTACCATTTTTTTATTCTTTTTTTGTGTGATTTTTTTTTGTAATTTTTGGTTTGCTTTGTGGTGGTTCTTGGTGGTTCCCTCGTTTAATACGATTTCTAGCTACCTCACGCGTACACCTTTGTCCGTCACTGTCTTCCGGATCCTCTACCGTCTTGTCGAAAAGTAGAAAACCAAAAGCAAAAAAAGAAAAAGAAAGAACATCCGCGCGACTCGAGGGACTCCGATCGCTTTCCGTGTCGAAGGTCAACGGCGTAGTCTCTCTCTCTCTCTCTCTCTCTATCTTTCCCTCTGTCTCTCACACCCCCGCACGAATTCTCCCTTTGATCCACCGCGTCCTCCTCGAACCCCATTGTGAAACGCGAACGACAGTCAACGCGCGTCCACGATGCTCCGGGAATAATTTTCGTTGCCGGCAATCGTGGCTCGCCGAGATACACAAATTTCGGAAAACAAAAGTCTAGAGAACCGTCCGCGACAGAAAAATAGAGACAACATTCCGAATCGCCTATTTACAAAATACGATCAGACCGAAATCGATGAAATGAATTTGTTGAAAGACATTCTCGAAGGCGGCGGTCGTCGGGGGCTGTTCGTTCCCCACCGGTTTCTCGAATCCCACCCGTTTTATATCTGATGTGTCGGCCGCGGTAATCTTCTGCAACAACCAATATGATTGCGATCAACTATAGATAAATGGTCGATTGTTGATACAACAACGACTTGCGGGAGTATCATTACGTTTAATATTAAAAAGTCGCGGCACGCCTCGCTGAAAATATTTCACTCGGCTTGGTCGCTCTTTCGGTGGGATTCGAGATGTGTTTCACCGTTCCCGTCGTTCCCAGTCCTGTCTCGCTCCAGGAACCGCCACCTTCGCTCTCGCGTTGGCTGTCGTTCGAGGTCGCGTATCTCTCGTCCGCGCTGAAAATCCCGTTCGACTCGAATTCACCGTCGTATACGTCGCCGATCGTCGTTTCCCCTCTAAACGCCGCCCCTTCACCGTAAGATCACGCGCGCGCGATCGTGTCTCCGAGAGCATAATCGTCGTCCAGCTAGCTGGCCACGCGGCACACGCGAGGACACCCCCGCGAGAAGGCCCAAACACCCCCCCCCGGCACCCCCAAACGCTCTCCGCGAAGTTAAACACATTTTTTTCTCGTTTTCGTTTTCTTACAAACTATCCCCGTGTTTTTAAACCGTGTTACGTTTTGTTTCGTATTTTTTTTGTTCAGAGATCACTCGTTACGTTTGGTAATCAGTCTATCTACTCTGCGTAGAGCCTAGCCCGCGAACTCGATTCCCCCTCGACGATCCCTCCCCCCTCGATCCGAGAGCCTCACGCGCGACGACGACCCTCCTGTGCCCAAGAATCAACGGAAATCGAAAGGAATTTTTACGTGAGAAACGAAAGACAGGCGCGAAACCGTGAAAAACGTTTACCGTAATACTTTTAAAATTGAAAGACCGAAACATCGACATCGTCCCCCTCCCCCCTTCGACCGACAGATCGTCGACGTCTCGTTTAAGCAACGACGGAATAGGAGCTCCGACACCTCGAGCCGACGACCTAACCGCTTAGGCGCTGCGCGCGAGATGCCACTCGAGCCGCAAAATGGAAATCGGCGCAGCCTTAACCGGTCGGTGAAACGTAATCGCCGGCCCGCCATCGATTTCCTAGCTCTTTGGACCCTTGTACGACCTTCTTTCATCCTCCCCAATTCCACTTTCTCGCTCTCATTCTCTCTTCATCGCGCCGAAGATATCTGTACACGCGTGTACACCGACCCCCGCGGTGATCGTTCTCCAAGATGGCGGCGTTGCTCGCCTAATCAGCGGCAGAGAAATCTTGCGCGACAACAGGTGGTAAAGCCTCGAAAACGCCGAACGAGGGACTTACAGAATTTGTACTCTTTGAATGCGTATTACAATGAAACGATGCTCTCTCTCTCTCTCTCTCTCGCTCACTCTCGCTCTTTCTCGCTTCTCTCGTTTTCTTTTTCTCTCATCTTTCACTTATAATATAGTAAGACTTACTTTTTCCCCTCGCGTCGGACGCCACCCCGTTAATTACAGTGTCTCGCGTGAAACGTATACGCGTGTGTCTTCCTCGTGTCCATTTCCATCCCCCTGCCTCCCGCTGTTCACCCAGCTTCCACGTCCGCGAAGAGAACCGTGTACCTGCGTGTGCCTGAACAGTGTATACGCGCGCGCGCGTGTGTGTGTGTGTGTGTGTGTACGTGGTCTTTCTATACGTTAGCTGCGTACCGTATGATTTTCCCGACTCGCCACCTCCCCTCCCGGATCATGCACTCGCGTGTACGTCGAAGGGTGGAACTCNAGCCGACGACCTAACCGCTTAGGCGCTGCGCGCGAGATGCCACTCGAGCCGCAAAATGGAAATCGGCGCAGCCTTAACCGGTCGGTGAAACGTAATCGCCGGCCCGCCATCGATTTCCTAGCTCTTTGGACCCTTGTACGACCTTCTTTCATCCTCCCCAATTCCACTTTCTCGCTCTCATTCTCTCTTCATCGCGCCGAAGATATCTGTACACGCGTGTACACCGACCCCCGCGGTGATCGTTCTCCAAGATGGCGGCGTTGCTCGCCTAATCAGCGGCAGAGAAATCTTGCGCGACAACAGGTGGTAAAGCCTCGAAAACGCCGAACGAGGGACTTACAGAATTTGTACTCTTTGAATGCGTATTACAATGAAACGATGCTCTCTCTCTCTCTCTCTCTCGCTCACTCTCGCTCTTTCTCGCTTCTCTCGTTTTCTTTTTCTCTCATCTTTCACTTATAATATAGTAAGACTTACTTTTTCCCCTCGCGTCGGACGCCACCCCGTTAATTACAGTGTCTCGCGTGAAACGTATACGCGTGTGTCTTCCTCGTGTCCATTTCCATCCCCCTGCCTCCCGCTGTTCACCCAGCTTCCACGTCCGCGAAGAGAACCGTGTACCTGCGTGTGCCTGAACAGTGTATACGCGCGCGCGCGTGTGTGTGTGTGTGTGTGTGTACGTGGTCTTTCTATACGTTAGCTGCGTACCGTATGATTTTCCCGACTCGCCACCTCCCCTCCCGGATCATGCACTCGCGTGTACGTCGAAGGGTGGAACTCGTTTTCCGCTCGTTTCTTTTTCTTCGTTCGCGTAGACTAATTAAAAACCGCAGGGCTCGCGGAGGAGACCCGTCTCCCTCGCGAATCAACCCCTCCGACCCCCCTTCCGGCCCTGATTTCTCCTGCACGCCGTGTCCCGGATCGGCCGACTCTCGCCGATATAACTCGCCTTCTCTCTTCCATCCCTCGGTGTACCGTGCTCGATCAGATTCTCCTCGGCTACGAATTTTCCCCGGAATTTCTCCGGCTTCTCCTCTCGCGAGCCGAGAGCAATAAACGAGACCGAAGAATCAACAACTCTCGGCGAGAATCGCGACGGTTTCTCCGGTTTATCTCGACTCGCCGCGATCTCCTCGAGAAAACCCGGGGGAAAAAGAGAAACGCGCGCGCACGCGCGCTCGGTGGAGACGCGAGGAGAAGCGCGAAGGATCGACGGGTAGGGTTTCTTTCCTCTCCTCGATCCTTGGACGCGACGCCCCCCGTGGCACGTAGAACGGAGAACGATCGTGCGATCGTCGCGGCCGTGGCGGATCGCGATGCTCCCCTTAACCCCCGTAACAGCCAAAGTCCCTCGAAAAATTTTCGGTGACGTCGATCGGTTAGAGGCCACAGCCATCTACAGTATATCGACAACGAGCCGCGCCTCTGATCGATCCGCCACGAGATCGGATCCGCGCGGACTGCGACGATCTACCAACGGGGATGATCCTCCTGCTGGCCGGGGGCGCGCCCCTCGAGGAAGAACCGCCCGGAATTTCCTCTTAGATATTCTATCCGCCTCGACGCTTTCTCCATAAATTTGGTCTCCCTTAAAAATATGTACAATACGCGTATTCAATTTACATCGTATTCCGCTTCGCCCGCCACAGTTTCTCGCGGTTCTTCCTCGAGGACCCCCCCGCGAGCGTCGCCCGTTCTTCCAAGCCGGTCAGATATCTTCACCTCCGAAGATGATGATTCCGCTCGTCTTCTCGCGCCTCGTTTTTCACGTCCCCTCGCCGCGTTCCTCGCGACGACCACGCGCGTACACACTGCGCGCCGATGTTCCCGCGGATGCTCCACCGTCGTAGGGCCGAAAAACGGGGCCCTAACGTGCACGCAGATTTCTCGTGCCGATTCCTCGGAGCACACCGTCGATCTTCGCACGCTCCCATGGCTTCCTATTCTCGTCCTCGTCCCTCGTTCTCGCTCGTTCTCGTTTCTTCCGCTACAAACGCGACCCACCCGCCGCACACTCCTCCCATACTCGCCGCCCTCCTCTCTTCTTCTTCTTCTTCTTCTTCACCCTCCGCGTCTTCTTCCTTCTCTTCCTCCGCACCCCCAACTGCTCCCCCTCTACTTTCTTCCGCCGCCACCGCGCCATCTCTTTGTCTGCAAATAGCCCAGAGGTACGGACGTGAGAATTTATTTGTCGAGGATCTGTTCCTTTTTACTCGCGCTCTGTCGCCCCCCTCCCTCCTCCCACCCACCGTCTTTGCAACACCCTCGCGCGGCTCTTATCACCGAAGGAAAAGAGAGAGATTTACATCGCGCCGTTTCTTATTCCACCGGGAAGGATTTTTGAAAATTTCGCGTACGATGGCCCGTTCGGGTGCTTCCATTTGGAAGACATTGAATATTAAAGGATTATTAAATCAGGTACGATTTATATAATAATATATATAATTATCAAAACTGGGGTACGAGTCCGAATTTTCGTAATTAGGGGTGTACATCACTCGGTAAACTTATTCCAGGATTTTCAAGATGATCGAGTTCGATTTCGTCTCTCTCTTTCCCTACTATTACGATATTTTGTTCAGTTGTTGCATAGAAAATTGGTATAAATTCGTGAGGAACGATCAACGCTAGCTTCTAACCAATCAGAATATTTTTGGTAACGATACAGTCTTGTAAATGTGCCATTAAGATACGGTTTGTCATTAAGAAGTTCATTTTGTATGCAACAACTCGCGTGGACCGTGAGAATAAACGTGCAGCAATAGCAATTAAATTCTAGAGGATTGTTGACGGAGTAGACAGAGTGATTACAGGACAGAGGATAATGAATTACGAATATATCATTTTCAAGATCAAGTAACAACGTGATCGAGTTCAGTAGCTGCTGCATGAAACTTCTGCTTGCAGATATATAATACTTACTTTTTTTATACAGCAATACTTGGCAAATGAATAATCTACCTATTAGTTAATATTGCCCTGAATGTGTACGACTGTGGTTTCGAAGAAACTTGAAACTCCGCGAAGAGAATAAATTTGGAACAACGCTCTCAAGATTGCCAAGAGAATGTTTAACCGTCGAATGTTACATTCGTTCTCTGTAAATACGACATTTCTCTTTCGCTTGTACGGACAGCTTTAAGTGTCACTCGGGTTTCCTGTGCCGGCTAAATAAGGCACGAAAAAAGACAGAACGGCGCTCGTAACGCGTCTCGCAGGAAAAACGAAAAATACTTCGTTAATTAAGGAGGACACGTTAAACGCAGCAATTTGCCCGCGCAATCATTCTGAAAAGTTATTATCCGACCGCTCGAGGCCCGGCATTATGAGACTTTAAAAATAGTCTTTGTGCGAGAGCCATCCGCATTTATAAACTCCGGGTTCTGCGGGCCGGTTTGCAAAATGGCGAGCATTCAGAAGGCGCCGCTGCTCGAGAGGATGCACTTTCGGTTCGGGCTTTTGACGCCTGTTAAACTTAGATCGCGACTTTCGTGCTCGTGTCGCGTTCACGTGAACGAAGAACGGAAAGAAACGTTCGAGGAATCGTCGGCTGAAGTCCGTTATCCGGATGATATCCGAAACGTATCTTCCGGTGAGAAAACGTGAGGAAAAAAGGGTAAACGAGCGACGAAGAGACAGCGGACTCCGAACGCGAGCCTGGGTGGTTACGAGAACCCTGTTTTTTTCTTTTTGCGTGACGCCAACGATTTTGCTGAAAATCCCGATGCAACTCGACGAAAAGCGAAAAGAAAAATATGGAACGAGATGACGCGGCGCAGTGAACGATGCTAAAACATTTACAACTCGGCGCCCGGATCGGGGTTCGACTTTTCGTTAATTTTGTATCGCGGCGCGAGCAGCCCTTTTCGCTCCGTAGAATTCCGTCGCGATTCCCGGGGCACTCGATTTTCTGCGCGCGGGTCGCGAAGCCGCGGGAATACTGAATTAGAGATGGGAGCCTGCTCCCCGATCGTTAAAATTCTAATGAATTTTTCGAGTATCTCTTGCAACTTTTTTTTTCTCCGGCGACGGAAAGGTCAAATAATTCTACCGCGCGCCGGTTTCGTTTTTCCGCGAAGTTTCAAGAGCGCGCGCGCGCCGCGCAAAAGTATTGGCGTCGGAAGTTTAAAAGCTGGGTAGAACGCTTCTGAATGGTTCTTCGAGATGAATAGTTCTGAAAATAACCCTCGGCTCGTAGAATCGGGGTGAAATGGTTTGGACAGCGCTCTCGAAAACGCCGAGCCTGATCACTGGCTGGAAACTATTTTGTCGAGAGTCTTTTACTCTGCATCGTCGAAAACTGTACGGAACAGCCCTCACAGAGTGTTTCGAACGAATTCCATGCGTATCAAGCCACTCGTTAAAATATATAACCGTTATTGTTCTTGCATAGATGCTATAGAAGAATTCGCTCGAGACGAGAACGAAATGTAAGAGAATCGCTGTCGGAAAAATTTGACGTTGCCTTAAATCAGTTCGAACAAATTGCCTGGTTAAAGAAACAAGATGGATGATAATGGTTTCGGAAAAATAAATTGGAAGGACAGGATCGTAGTGCTGCAGTTGTCGATTATAGAGTGACGTATCTGCTCACCTAAAGATTGTCCATCATTTCGGAAAGGGTCAGCCTGGAGGTGGACATTGCGACGCCACTGTCGCTGCTGCTTTGCACGCTGCTGTGATCATCGGTGTCCGACTGGTTGCTCGTATAACCGATCACGTCTACTTCATCTGCAACAGGAAAATTAGGCGATCGTCAAATTAAGCGCAACACACAAATATCCACGACAGTCTATCACGTAGTAACAAGATATATAGAATATAGAAATATAGATATATAGAATATATTTGTAATAAATAAGTCCGTTGATCGAGAAAATTTATTCGCAACATCCTTCCATTATTGAATTTACCGGAGACAGAGACGACTCGAAGAAAACTTGCCCCAACACCTTAAAAGCTGTCCATAAAAAGTATAGGAGCCGAAACTGCCGAGTCAGTTATCAACAGAGAAATTCTCCGCGAATGCGGGCCGCCGTTTCGGAACTGGCGACGGCAGCTTTAGCGTCCCGTAACCCGAAGCTCGGTGTCCCTTCCGATACACTAAAGCTCTCGATATCACTCCGCAGTTCCTTTCTGGAATATCTCGTAAAAACATCTCCTAAAAGCGGCGTATCGAGCGGAAACGGAAAAAATCGCAGATCCGGGCTCGGTTGGCTGCGCGAGAAGCCGTCGACAAAAAAAAATACCGGGGAAAGAGAAAAGAAAAGGAAAGGAGAAACGAGCGGCCCTTTATCGCGCATCTCCTTGACCCGCAGCGACTCCGGCACCTTGGTCCGCAGGAGAAAGGAGCTCGTCCGGGGATTTTATGAATCGTAACTCCCGAGGAACGAGAGGAGCGGTGTCAAAGTCTCGTTAAACTAGTTTCGCGGCGATCGAGCGCGACCTTCGACCTTTCGCGCCGGATGTGTCGCCGGCAGCTGCCCGAGGCGTATATCAAATTGTTTGCTGTTCTCGAATTCCACGGTTCTGCGTGTGCAGGCGTTCTCGCGGCGATGGTTTTTTTGTCACGGGAAATGCGCGCGGCCTCGGCCGCCACCCCGGCGTCCCCGCGTCCCCTTTCACGGCCGCGCGGCGAACCCTCTTGACTCTTGGCACACACGAAAACCGCGCCGGGAATATCGAGGATCCCGGCACCAGAGAGAATATCGGCCCTTCGACAACACCCGCCGCAGTAAAACATCCGCGACTTTCGCCGCCGTGAAATATAACCCGGCCCCGACCGCCCACGCCTATGCGCCCGCCAGGTGCGACCACGGCGAAACCGACGCCCGACGCCATTCACTGCGCCGACACTTTTTCTATCGAGCCGGATCGGACATTGAATTCCGCGTCGATACTTCGACTGGATTTTCAAGCGTACCGGCGCCCAGGAGATGAAAACAAAAAAAGACAGCTCGCCAATGGTTTTGCTACTCGAAAATGGCTCCTCCGCTGATCGACAACCGTGCATAGTGGTAGAATCCAGAGAAGCAGAAGTGGAGGAAGGACTGCGAACACCGTCGGCGGGTGTAGTTGTTCTCTTTCAGTATCGTTTCGTGCAAGTCTGAACTTAATCGTTCGTTGAAAATTAAATATTCGCGCTTCTTTAAAAATCTCTGGCTTCGTGAAGAATTTCTGTCTAACGGAACGAGACAATTTTCGTTCCCCGCGTGTCCCAATTTACTTTCATTCCTAGATTTCCATAACAACAGAATAAAATTCTGTTTCAATTAAGAAAGAAAAAAGGAATAACATTCATATTCAGCAGATCGCATATGAAATCGGACGAGATCCGACGGGATTAAAAACCGAAGCGCTCCGTCGTCGAATCCCCGAAGACAGCGAACGTTATCGCCGCCAATGGCGTCGACTTGTCAACGAGACCCGAGATTCCGGCGATAATCCGCGCGCGTAGGTTCGCGCGCCAGGGCCGACAATACGATAAACAACCGCGGCGGGAGGGGTTTGCCGGGGCTCGGACACGATCGAATAATTCGTGTCATACGGTAATACTGTTCGCGGGGCTTCTCGCGAGATAATTTAAAAAACGCAGGTGCGCGGGATGCGCGCTAGTAAATTGTAGATGCGATCGGACAGCTGCGGCTCATAAATATAAGCGGTAACAATCCCCGATTCGAAAGCGTCCGCGCGCGAATTCCGCGCCGAATCGATATATCGAGCCGCGTTCCGCGACCGGCCCCGCGCGCACGTGCCCTCCCCCACGGCCGTCCAATAATACGAAGCGTTGTCCAATTTTCGTATTTTACCGGATCCATGGAAGCGGTCGTCGAATATTGTTCGCATTTTTTCGCCCCCCGCGTACACGCGCGGCGGGGCGCGCCCTCCTCCCGTTCGCCGATTTCGCGACCTCGTAGCTTTAACGTCCCCGCACCCCCGCGTTCAGCCCCCTCGTCCGTCCCGCCGTCCCCTCGTCCCTGCCGTTCGCCGGCGTTCCGCTCTATAATTGACAAAAAATACGATCTTCCCGGGAACCGTTCCGATAATTTTCTTCGGTTCCGAGGCGGCTGCTCGCGACTCGCTGCACCGGACACACTTAGCGCCGGAGTTTAATTAAAGTAACACGGGAGCCGGAGCCGGAGCCGTGTCGAGCCGAGCCGAGCCGCTACCAATAACGAGCGTGTGCCGGCTTGTTTTTGCACGGAAGCTGCGGAAATGAACAGGTTCGCGGCTCTGCTATATTTAGACGGCCGCTCCACGGGATTTCGGAAGCTAGGAGAGAGCTGCTCTGCTCTGTTACACGGTTAAACACCGTGGCGCCTGGTTGCTATTACGCTTCGATTACCCAGAGATAGAACACACTTTTTCGAGCCAACCGCTGTGCTGCACTCGCGGTCTATTTCTCGCGGGCTTCTTGCCCCTGCTCGGATTTAGGCGCCGCTTCTCCAGTCTCTCGATCGCGTTTCCGTTTCCCTTTTTCGCCACGGCCCTCGAAATAAAAAGACTTTCTTAAAATTATCGAGTCCTCGGCGTTATTTGGGATGGACGGAGTCGGAGCGATTCGAAGGGAAAGCTTGCCCCGAGGGTCGTGCCTCCGGGCGCGATCGATATCTCGCGATCCACCTGATAAGTTCGCTCGAAACTTTCCCGAAACCCGCGGCACACCTGTCGCTGCACAACCGGTGCATCGATCGCGACGAGAATGATTTCATGATCGCAATTTTCTGGCGAAAGTTACGATGATCGTGAGATCATCGTTTCTTTTTCAGGGGACTTTGTTGCACAAGAAGCACGAATTAATGGGACAATTTAACCAGCCGGTATTTTTACTCGAGCGCTTAACCCTTTGCCGTACTCCGACTCGTTATGAAAATTTCTAGTAATAACTTGTCGAGCGTAGATGCACGCGATAAGCATCAATTTTCTTTCCCTTCTGAGAAATTATTGCAATCGAAAAATTCCTAATCGCGGTAACTGCGAAGAAAATGGCGCGCCAAGGTTATATTATTATATTCCCAAGGGGTTAATTAGCGAGTGACAAGAGAACAGAATTGTGTTCCGACTCGAGGGAACGAAACAGATTATTGTTGGAAATTTCCATCGCGAATCGAACTCGCCGAAGTTCGTCCGCGATTTTTTATTTAATTACGACAGCTTGAAATCGAAGTCTCTTAATTTTCCGAGAGAACGTTCTAAAATTTCTTAAGGGACGCGAGGTACTATTTCGTGTGGAGGATTTATTCATTAAGCGCCGAAATTACGCACTGAGAACAGGAAGTTCGAGGGAGTGTGGCGGAAGGGGTGGATAATTGCGCCCGCGGCGGCACTCGATATCCGCCCAGGGCATGGAAATAGTCGATATTGAGCTCGGTGATCAGTGTCAGGATGAAAACGGCCCTTAAGGCGGTCTACGTCACCGTGAACACCGTCGGGTCCGTTCGGTGTTCGTAAAATATAACCGGCGCCGACACCCACGCCCAGCCCCCTGTCTGCGAACGCGCGCGCGCGCTCGCGTGTGTGCACGCGTGTACGCCGCAAGGGCGCAAAAAAATGGAGAGAAAGGGAGAAAAAGGGCCAAGAATGGTAGAAGCACACTCGTCGGCGGAGAGAAAGGGACGTGAACGTAGAAGTGGAACCGTTCTAAAGGAGAAATTANTAGAACACACTTTTTCGAGCCAACCGCTGTGCTGCACTCGCGGTCTATTTCTCGCGGGCTTCTTGCCCCTGCTCGGATTTAGGCGCCGCTTCTCCAGTCTCTCGATCGCGTTTCCGTTTCCCTTTTTCGCCACGGCCCTCGAAATAAAAAGACTTTCTTAAAATTATCGAGTCCTCGGCGTTATTTGGGATGGACGGAGTCGGAGCGATTCGAAGGGAAAGCTTGCCCCGAGGGTCGTGCCTCCGGGCGCGATCGATATCTCGCGATCCACCTGATAAGTTCGCTCGAAACTTTCCCGAAACCCGCGGCACACCTGTCGCTGCACAACCGGTGCATCGATCGCGACGAGAATGATTTCATGATCGCAATTTTCTGGCGAAAGTTACGATGATCGTGAGATCATCGTTTCTTTTTCAGGGGACTTTGTTGCACAAGAAGCACGAATTAATGGGACAATTTAACCAGCCGGTATTTTTACTCGAGCGCTTAACCCTTTGCCGTACTCCGACTCGTTATGAAAATTTCTAGTAATAACTTGTCGAGCGTAGATGCACGCGATAAGCATCAATTTTCTTTCCCTTCTGAGAAATTATTGCAATCGAAAAATTCCTAATCGCGGTAACTGCGAAGAAAATGGCGCGCCAAGGTTATATTATTATATTCCCAAGGGGTTAATTAGCGAGTGACAAGAGAACAGAATTGTGTTCCGACTCGAGGGAACGAAACAGATTATTGTTGGAAATTTCCATCGCGAATCGAACTCGCCGAAGTTCGTCCGCGATTTTTTATTTAATTACGACAGCTTGAAATCGAAGTCTCTTAATTTTCCGAGAGAACGTTCTAAAATTTCTTAAGGGACGCGAGGTACTATTTCGTGTGGAGGATTTATTCATTAAGCGCCGAAATTACGCACTGAGAACAGGAAGTTCGAGGGAGTGTGGCGGAAGGGGTGGATAATTGCGCCCGCGGCGGCACTCGATATCCGCCCAGGGCATGGAAATAGTCGATATTGAGCTCGGTGATCAGTGTCAGGATGAAAACGGCCCTTAAGGCGGTCTACGTCACCGTGAACACC